TGCCCATCTGGTGATTTCCATGTGTAGAGTCACCTCTTGTGTTGTTAGAAAAGAGTGTTTGTGATGGCCAGCTTGTTCTCTTGACAAAACTGTATTAGCCTTTCCCTTGCTTCATTTTGAACTCCAAGGCCAAACTTACCTGTTGTTCATTTTATCTCTTGACTCCCTACTTTAGCATTCCAGTCCCCTGTAATGAGAATAACATCTTCCTTCGGTTTCAGTTCTAGAAGGTGTTTTAAGTCTTCATAGAATTGGTCAATTTCCTCAGCATCAGTGGTTGGTGCATAAACTTAGATTACTGTGATGTTGAAAGGTCTGCCTTAGATTCGTATTGATATCATTCTATCATTTTTGAGATTGTATCCCAGTACAGCTTTTCCCACTATTTTGTTGACTGTGAGGGCTACTCCATTTCTTCTATGGGATTGTTGCCCGCAATAGTAGATATGATAATCATCTGAATTGAATTTGCCCATTCCTGTCCATTTTAGTTCACTGACGCTCAGGATGTCAATGTTTATTCTTGCCATCTCCTGTTTGACCACATCCAGCTTCCCAAGGTTCATAGACCTTACATTCTGGGTTCCTATGCAGTCTTTTTCTTTGCAGCATCGGACTTCCCTTTCACTTCCAGGCGCATCCGCAGCTGAGCGTCCTTTTGGCTTTGGCCCAACCACTTCATCAGTTCTGGAGCTACTTGTACTTGTCCTTGGCTCTTCCTCAGTAGCATGTTGGATGCCTTCCAACCTGAGGGGCTAATCTTCCAGCGTCATATCTTTTAGCCTTTTGTTTCTGTTCATGGAGTTTTCTTGGCAAAGATACTGGACTGGCTTGCCAGTTCCTGCTCCAGGTGGATTGCGTTTAGTCGGAACTCTCCACTATGACCTGTCCATCTTGGGTGTCCCTGCACGGCACAGCCCATAGCTTCTCTGAATTACTCAAGCCCCTTCACCATGACAAGGCAGCAATCCGTGAAGGGGATGCTAAAGTATAGACATGGGCAGTTCATGGTCTGAGTAGGGAGGGGCTCACTCCCAAAGGGGGGGGCTTGATCTACTCCTGTCGTGAACCATCTATGTCCATTGATTGGAATATAAGAAGAGCCTTGGTGGATCAGACCAAAGACGTGTATCAAGTTGAGCTGTCAGTTCACATGGTGGCCAATCTGCATGTTCCCATCCAAGTTCCCCCAAAACGGATATAAAGAGGCCTACTGCCTTTCCTACTGGATGGAGACAGATATCTACCATGACTCATAGCCACAGTTAGCACCATCCTGCATAGATTTGCCCACCATCTTGTTAAAATTGTCCATGTTGGTCGGGTTGGTGCTACCAGTGGAGGGCAGAGTAGACCCACAGAAACCACCTTTATTGGCAAGAAGTACAGCGCATGATGACAAAATGAAAAAATGCTCATGACAGGAAGTACCACAAGCATGTGGTCTGCCACAAAGAAGTGGCATGGTTGGGTGTCTGCTATTTGGAGAAGGGGTTAGCCCATCAGTTCTTACCCCTGTCAACCTATTAGGACCTGTCTTCCAGAGCTTTGACTGTTACTACCACTCCATCTCTTTCTTCCTCAATGACAAAATGCTCATGGCAGGAAGTACCACAAGCATGTGGTCTGCCAAAGCTCATTGTGTCACTGGACATGCATGGATGTTTCTGTGCAGATCAACTCTACTGTTTCAACACATACACACCCATGTGCCCCAACAAAAACAGGTCATTACATTTTAGGGCTGTGAATTCCACCGTTTAACAGTTTGCTGTTTGCTATCCTTTTATGCTTGCTGTTGTGAATCTCCCACCGTTCTGTTTCAGCGAATGACCGCTGTGTTATGGAAAAGCTTCTCTCTGTCTTCTTTATCCACACCACACCGTGGTTACAGAGTTTCCTTAATGATGGTTGGTTGTTACACTGTATCTACATTGGCCCACTCTCTTAGTATGCATGGGTCAGGCTCAAGAGCTTTAATGTGTATGGCCTTTCTTTCCCTTTTAGGTACTCATTTCAGAGGGCTTAGGCCTTTACGCACGGGATCCAAAGTTTGTGGCCTTCACCAAGCGGGAAATTGCCGACGCCTGTCACATGACCATCGATGAAATGGAAAGCGCCGCCACGGACTTACTCAGCCGCAGATTTGTTGGCAGCGAACATGGTGGCCAAGGAGGTAGTGGCGGTGGCAGCCACGTCTTATATAGCAGCGACGGGGAACATAGCGGAGTTGGAAGTCTAGGCCCCGTTTACAGTGACGAGGAGCCCCTCCGCACCCGGGAGGAAGAGGACTTGGCCGACGAGATGGCCTGCGTCACTTCCTATTGACCATGAAGTGCCCCCTGGTGGGGCACGGAGAGACACTTGCCACTGAGAGATTCCCCACCCCTACCCCACCCCCAAGGTGCTGGATCCTTGGGACTCAGGGCAAAGACTAGCTCAAAGGTGTGCCATGATGGGAGTGACTGCTGGGGTGGGGGGGAGGACGACAAAAAAGCAAGACCAAACAATGGAAGCCAAAGGTTGCCCTTGCACTGGCCAATGCAAAAGAAACCCTCAGCACTTAGAAACACGGTCTATGTACTTTTTTCTGGTTTAGGCAGTCTGCTCCTTGCTGCTCCCTCTCCAGATTTTGACTACTCTTACTTTGGATCCAGAAAGGGAAAAGCAACCCTTGGAAGTCTTCCCTCAGGGAATGATCGGGAGTTTTAAAAAAGGCTGAAGGTTGTGAAGGAAGTTGGAAGATGTTTTTCTTTTTTTTTTCTATCAGAAACAATAAATACTGTTTGGAAAACGAGGAGGTCTGTTTCACTAGGCAGACTTTTTAAAAAAGCAGAAAAGGTAAATGTTCTCAGCCCTCATTATCCCACTTTCCTCCGTTTTCTTTAATTATTCCCAGTTCTTTATTGAACCAAGTGAGACGCTTATACTCTAGGGGCTTACACAGGAGAGGGAAGCTTTCCTACAAAACTACCTGGTTTCTTGCTGATGATTATGGCATGTTTCTCACCAACCACATGATGCAAAGCCTGGTTCAATATATGTGATTTCCTGTGCAAGTTTGCAGGGGCTTTTTTTTTGTTCCTGCAGCAGACACTGCGGTTTATTTTATTCAGAGGTGAGGTTGGAGATAATGCTTTCCCAGACAGTTTATTTCAGTGTAAGAGGTTCCCAATAGTTATTATTCAAATATGTTTTTCAAAAATAATGATTTTTTTAAAAAAGCTCCAGAAGTGGAATTCCACTAAAGATTTTCCTCTGAAGGATTTTGTGGAGAAACAGTTTCTAGATACATGTCTAAAAGCAGTACTGTTTGGACACAGAACTCAGTAAGCTTCACTCTGTTCTACAGCCCATCCTGACCAAATGGGATGGAATTTTGGACCCATGTTGGGTTAAAGGCAAAACTATCCATCCAAACCATGCGGGTTTCGCACAGACTTCTTATTCAATGGGCTTGCTTAGTGCCAAATCCACATTGATTTATTCCTAAAATCACATAATCGATGAGCAAGACAGAATATGCAAATTAAAATTATTATTTTTTTGGTGACATATATAGTTCCGAGATAACTGGTGTTGTAATTCCTACACTCAGAGGATTACTTTGAAAATTTGCATTATCTTTTTATTGAAACCTTTTTAGCCCCACAGTGGCTTCCAGATCAAAATAAAACATGAAACAGTCCCTGCTTTCATGTTTTTAGTGTAAAGGACACATCATGAAAGGAAAAAGAAATAAAATCTGAGGAAGGGAAAAAGCAAATTTAGGCACCAGTTCTTAAACAGTTCTTATACGTAGTTAGCATCAATGGCATGGAAATATTTCAGGGATGGGCAGAGCTTTTCTGTCTGCCAGAAGCCCCAAAGTGAGGTACAAAAAAAGGACCACTGCTAATGTGATAGCTAAGAAAGAGTCAAAGGCTCAGTGATTCTCTGAGAGAACGCAACTTCTCTTGCCCTCTGCTCCCTTGGTAATATGTGGGGTTTATTTGTCTTAAGACAAGGAATTAAGCAACTGTGACCCTCAAGATGTTATATTACAATTCCCATCAGCCTTGGTCAACACAACCAATTGGGAGGAATTATGAATGTTGCAGTCCGAAAACTTCTAGAGGGCCAGAGTTGTCTGCCTCAGGTTTAAGTTATGGCAAAAGTTTATCTAAAATGTTTATCTAAAAATGTTCGAGACATGAAAGAGCCTATTGTGTCTTAAAGAACAAAATCACAGACATTTCTAAAGTTTCACTAAAAGAACAGCCAGGAGCTGATGTCCCCTCCCACATTTCCCATAATCAGGATAAAAATATGGCATCTTACAAAAAATATCAAAGGTACTTGAAAAGATCTTGTTGATCTTTGAAGTTCTTTTCGATCTGCAAGAGAGAATGGGGTATTTATTTATTTATTAAATTTATACCCCACCCATCCAGACCGAAGTCTACTCTGGGCAGCTAACAATAATAGATAAAAGTAAAAACAATATAATAAAAACAACAGTAATGATATAGTTCAAGATGGAAAAAATAATCAGGTGATGACAGGAGAAAAAGCCTGCCTAAAGAGCCAGGTCTTAAGTTTGCTCTTGAAAGGGTGAGCTTACTCTTCTGCCATAACTAATTAAAAAACAGAAATACAAGAAACCAAAGCTTGTGACATCAAGAGTACGAAGGTCGGCATAGCAGAACATGACATGCAGAAGTGGGTAGAGAAGATCTTGAAGTGTCACCCTGGCTAATAGTAAATCTTATATATAGCACTTATTCTAAATAAATTCAAGAGTTCAGAATAGTTGCATGATTCTCTACCTCACACTACCTAGCCTTTATCTGTTATTATACAGTATTTACATTCCACCTTTATTTCACTGTGTTTCAAGTGGTGTATAATGGCTATCCTCCTCCTCACTTTGTCCCCACACTTGTGAGGGGTGTGTGTGTGTGTGTGTGTGTGTGTGTGTGTGTGTGTGTACTGTGCCGTCAAGTTGGAACCAACATATAACAACCCTGATTGGGATTTCAAGGTAGGTGAGAATTTTAAGAAGAGGTTTTACCAGTTCCACTCCCCCAGTCAGTTTCCATGACCAAGTGGGGATCTGAACCCTGTTCTCCATGTCCTAATCGGTCACTCTAACTATGACACCACCCTGTACTTGTGAAGTAGATCAAGCATTTTGAGGGGGAATTCCAGACTTCGGACCACAGGAGGACCAAGAATAGGAGACCTTCCCCCCCCACTGCACCTCCCTGGCAAATTCCAGTTTGGACTGTCCCACCCTAACACTTGCAATTCATTTTTTTAAAAAGTTGTTTTCACAACTACTCATTGTATACATAAGTAAACACCTCATTGCCTTAGGCATTAAGTACTGTGCTCATCTATTATGTCTACATTCCACAACACTAGAAAGTGAAGCTTGATGCTGGATGGTGTTCTTATTATTTAAAAAAACACATCACATTTCTAGTCCTGACTAAAATAGACCTACGTATGGACTCTGTGAGATTTACTTGAGTGTTGCCATAACCATCCAGCAATCAATTCAGTGGCTCTGTTTTTAGTTGGGACTAGCAATCTGATAAAGGCCAATATTTATGTGATCCAGCCTTAGGAGATTGAACCGATGTCCAGCTAAGGAACATATACCTAGCAGGCAGAAAGAGGTCTTGGCATTGCCAGACAACGACTGGGAAAGAGAGCCTTGAGTACCTGCTACCAGTCAATGTAGGAAACACTGGACTATATAGTGACCAATGGTTGGACATCATATAAAACTGTTCCATCATAATTCTACAGCTAGTAATCTGGGATAGCAGTACTGTTACATTTCCCATCATCCTGGACTGTGAGGGATGAGGCAGATAGTCCAAGAACTGCTGGACCAGAGTTTGGACAAGTGATTGGGTGGTTTTATTCTGTCCCTCTAGCCACATTATTGTCAATATTCCCACTGCTCCTTGCCAGATTCTTGGTTCTGGCAGATGAGAGAGATAGAGATAGATTTGGAGTACAAATATCATCCAGACATACAAACAAACAGGATTATTTATTTATTTATTTATTTATTTATTTATTTATTTGAGGGACAACTACAACTCCCAGCAGTCCTCTGCCAACCTGGTCACAGAAAAAGTAAAAATATCATTTGCAGGAGCATTTCACAGGGCTTTCCTATTCCTCTAAAAATGCCAAAAATGTCAGAGGACATTGGAGTTTCCCCCAATGTGGCAATTGCCTCCTCAGCTGCTAACATTGAGCCTGTTAGCAAAGGTTGGTGAAACGTAACCTTGACTGTGTTGCAAACATCTTGGGAAGAGAAGCATTATTTTAGAAGAGGCTATTCGAAACTTTAGTGACGATGAGCTTAAGGAGAGCGATCTGTGCTCTCAGCCTAATTTCAAATTAAGCCAGGCACTATCTGAGCATTATTTTAACCAAACCAAGCATTGGGCAAGGTATGATTTAGATAATATTTTAAACCATGCCATTAAAAAGAAATGATTAACCATAAAGAAAGTGGCAAGCCCTAAGACAAGATCCTTCAAAAAAGAAAAATCATATTATCCCTCAGGATAAGTATAAAATTTCCCCTTCCGTTCTGTGACAAGACTGGAAATTATGACTGAGCGATGCTACTTCTACAGCAGGGTGAGGAACATGCCCTCCAGATGTTTCTGGCCTACAACTCCTATCGGACCTAGCCAAGGGTTAAGAGTTCATGAGCTTTGCAGTTTGACATCTGGGGAGCCACCCCTTCCTCACCACTGCGCCCAGTTTGACTCTTTCAAGTCTGGCTGTTTCTGGGCCACTGTTCCTCCCCATCAGTGGAGGCAAAATGACAGGCCTCAAAGGATTCCTAGCACCTCAGTGTAATCACAGGCAAAGCATTACACACAGCAACAAAAACACACTAACTAGGTCCCTAAAATATATGACAGCCTTTTTGTTTTCCAACATAGCACTTGCTGGCTTTCCCACTTTAAGTTTAAAAAAAAAAGTAATATGTGATTGCAAACCACCAAACAAACAAGCAAACAAATCCTTCACAGCCTGGATATAGATACAGATATATAATGCATTGTAACAATAGGGCACCCATGCATTCTAACTTGCAGATGACAGTCCTCTGTTGGAAGATGCTGTGAGGAGGAACCACTTCCCAACAGAAGAGAGGCCTGTGAGCCGTCCCCTCCAGCGCCCACAACCGAAGGATACGAGACAGGGTATACACGTGATACCAGCAGTGGCCCAACTGAAAGTAGAGGAGAAAAAGAGCAGGAAAGAAGAGCAAGAGGAGGAGGACGAGAAAGGGGAGAAGCCAATAGTGGTGACTGGTGCTGAGGAGAAGAGAGAAGGAGAAAGAGAGCTAGATGGGGCAACTGAGGGGACAAAGCAGAGGAAGAAAAGAAAAGAAAGGAGGTGAAGGAAGAAGACATTCCACCTAGGATGGGGTTGCTTAGAAATGGAAGACCCCTGGACAGGAGAGCGTAAAACTGACCCTAGAGGAAATAGAAAGGAGACAGTAATATCGCAATGTCAGACCTGAGGGGGGTAAGCTAGGAAAACAGGGAGAAGATCCGAAAGGCAAAGAAAGGAAGGACTGGCAGTGCAGTTGGGGGAAACAGAACCTGTGGAAGGAATGGTATATGTTTATCTCAGGAAGGGAGATCAAGGGAAGAAGGGGGCCAAATCGGCAGAGATGTCGCATCCAGAAATGCCCATGGAGGGAAAGTGGGCTCGGCACCCCTGTTGCAATATCCTACCCCCCGGTCTGAGGAGGCCCACAAGAAAACCCACGGATGGCAAATGGTTTGGAGTGAACCCCCGATGGTGAACTCTCTTGCGACGCCCGTGTTAAGGGACTGTTATGTTGAATGTAGAGAAACTGAGGGACCTGTTGGTCCAACTGAAGTTGTTGTTCATGGTTCTCTGGTGTTTGACAATAAAAGAAACATTTATGAAGAAGGCCTGTCTCCACTTTTGGGGCAACAAAAAGGGGAATGGGGTTTTCCCAACATTGATCTGACTCACAGATGCCTTCTCCTTGGAGGGCTCTCCAGACCAAGTCCAGTTTATAGAGACAATGAACCATTATGAAGGGGATGAAAAGGCTTTGAAATTCCTCAACAACAGTGGACTCCCAAACAGCAGACTCAGTAGGCAAACTGGTCAGCTGGCCACCATCTTCTCCATTATGGCCACCATCTTCTCCATTATGGTGTGTGTACTGTGTTTCTGTTCATATGATAGCAATTATTTTTTTAAGTTTGCACATATACATTAGCACATGGGTTTCTCATACACAACTGAATCTTCTCTTCTTTTATTTATGGAGCTTTTCCTTTTTTTCCCCCCCACCAACACAGAAGTGCCTGCTATCACAGGATCCATTCTAGGCATTTTCTAGAGCATGTTTAGCCTTCAACTCCTACAGAAACTAACAGCTGCCGTTTCCTTGTTGGCCTTTCCTCTCGCTTCCCACCCACCCTCTGCTCTGCTCTTTGTGTCAGATTTCAGACTGTAAGCTTCCTGGGGCAGAGACCTCTCTTCCTGTTATTGTGGAAAAACTCAGGCACACATGGCTGCAGTTCTGTAAACAGATGCCCAGTAGAGGTTGTGCTAATTTTGGCCAGAGTTCCCAAACAGAATGGACAACCTTCCACCAGTGACAAAGGGGTGCCAACTTTCACCACTGCCAGCTTCAAACTCCATTTCCCATTCCAATGGTACTCTCCTTTTGCCAAGAAGGGACATGGCTCCCAATGGTTCCCAGTCTGGCTTCGCATGCCAGCACTTTTGACGTTATCCCTCCCTCCTGGCTCTTGGAGTCTCCTCCCACCGCGATTTTTTTCGCCCTGCCCCCACCTCGGCTTTGGCCACGCCCTCACAGGCTGTTCCAGATAAAATTCTCCCCCTCCCCCCGCCCGCCCCAACCTTCCCTGCGCTCTGCTGCGTCGCCCTCGCTTTCCCCAAGCAAAGATGGAAGTCGTCAATCAGGTAAGCGGCGAGGATTTCAACACCGGGGACAGCTCCCCAAGGCTTCGTGGGCTCCCCCTACGCTTTGGGGGGGCTGATTCAGAGAGGCTGCCCTTCCCCCCCCACGCGCCAGCCTTGCTTGCAGCCACCCTTCTCAGCTCAACATCCTCCCCCTCCCCGGAGCCTAATCTCATCATCCCCATCAAGATTTATTCTAGGCGCAGCGAGATGCGCCTTCTCCTTTCGGCGTCCGCTGCTGCAAAGCCTGTGGGGCGCAGACGGGCAGGAACCCCGGTTTTCCTGGGGGTCGGGAGGAAGGAGAGGGTGAACTGGGAGAAGGGCTGCGTTGAAAACAAGTCCCGTTGCAGCAATGTCCAGCCAAGGCACTGAGCATCGGAGGATGGGGGGCGGAGGGGGGGAGACCGAAAGAAGACTGTGAAATCTTGTGCTGCAGTGAAGCAGAATTTTTTTTGGGGGGGTAGGTGGCCCCGGGGAATCGGGGCTGTAGAGGAGAGAGGCGCTGAGAGAGATCCATAAATTATTTTGTCCTCCAGAAAGGAGAAAATAATGTATATTATAAGAGAGGGGGATTGATGGCTGGCGTCGATCCTCTTCCCTCCTCCTTCCTTTTTTTTTCCAAGTGCAACCGGCTTTTTAGAGGGAAATCTGATATAGGTCTTGTAAAAGATTGGGGGGGGGGGAACCGAGCTAGAAGATTCTGCCTCCAGTCATTGCAGCAGATCGGGAGGGGGGGTGCGGAATAAAGAGCCAAAATGGCTGGGGTGATGCAGTAAAGCTACGCAACGTTGTCCAGCATTTGGGGAGCCGGAGGACGCTGGAGAGGATGGGGGAGGCTCGCGAGGGAGTGGGGTGGGGGAGACGGGAAAACACTTCATTAGCCCTACTAAAGTAAACAGATTGGGGGGGCAACAATGTCAGCGGTCAATACCACTGCACTGATGTGGGTCAATAATCCCATGCAGGCATAAAGTCCGTTTTTTGGGGGGGGGCGCAATGTTGAAAAGAGTGGAAGGGGATTAATCATTATCACACTAACTAGGAACCAGGATGGAGACGATGGATTAATCTCTTATCTATTGCTACAGAAAAGGGGAGGGGGATCTTGAAGAAGAAAAAAACACTAGTGTATTGAAAGGATATGTTGAGGAAAATGAGCTGATTTGCATATTGTCATCATCAACACCATCATCATTTTCGTTTGCAGTAGAGGATGGGTTTGCTGGCAGGAATGGGGAGAAAACATCTGACAAATAGTGGTTGCTGCCCATCGGAGTTGTAGGGCAAACTAGCAAGAAATAGGGCTTGGGGGTGACAGGGAGGCATGGGGAAGGTTAGAGCAGCAAAGTGCGTCTTTATTGGTTGCAGCTGATGGCGGGGGGGGGCAAGAGGAGAGGAGATCATCAACATGGCCGCAGAAGAACTTTGAAGGCTAAGCATAGACCAAGGGAAGCACAGCAAGAGATACTGGGGACTGGCTAGGGGTGGGGTCAATGGGGGTTCATTTTTATTCTTCCCCCCCCCAACACACATTTGCAGCAGGATGGGATGCCTGTCAATACATAAGCAAGACTGGAAGGATGCAGTTCAAGCAGTCACATGCCATAAGAACAAGAAGGCAGGCAGGGGTAAAATACAGCCTAGGGGTGTCTTTTAATTTCTGCTCCCTGGAGCAGATGCAGAAAGAGAGTTTGCCGGAGGGGAGGGATTGATAGGGTGTGGGGTGTTGCTTTTGGAGCAGAGTGTGTTGTGCGTGCATGTGCGTGCCTTGCTTTTAACTCACTACAGCAGCTGCCTGGCGGAGGAGGTGCTATGTCGTGTAATTTTAGCAGAGACGATGGAACAAATGTTCCAGGAAGGTGGAAGAAAGTCTTGTTTCTTTTTTTCAAAACCTCTTGGTATTTGTAGCAGTTTGATTATACACTTGAGATGCAGGATTATTGCCTTGAGAGGGATGTTCGTGTTGGACAGCCTGAGTCTAAAGCTGGCCTGAGAGAGAAAGAGAGAAAGAGAGAGTTTTGGAAGAAGACGGAGTCCAAGGAGGTGCAGTGTGTGTTAGGCTGAGAGCCCTGTTCCAGTTCAATTAGGGCAAGATTTTAGAGCAAGAGAGAGCAATTCTTGTTGGGTCCCTTGTTGGGAGAAATGCGGCATATTAATAATAATAATAATTAATTATTATTATAATAAATGACGAAGATGATGATGATAAGAATGGTAATAATTCCAGAAATGCAAACATTACTTGGATGAAATGCTTGAGTTTTGTAACATCTACACAGGTAGCTATTGGAGAGAGAGATAGAGATAGATAGATAGAGATCTGAATACTGTATTTACTTGGAAGAAAGCTTCCTGGTGTGTACCCCAAAGTAAAAGAGTTTAAGATTGATCCTTCCTCCCTCCCTCCTTCCCTCTTATTTATTCTTAGATATTCTGGGAAGTAACAGAAAGAAAGAATAGGGCCTGCTAAATAGAATTTCAATAAAAAACCAAGGGGATTTATCAGTCAAGAGTAACTAACGGCCCTGTTTGACTTTTTAAAGTTACTGCACAGCTAATTCTGCTGCTTTGAGCTCTGGCTTTTTCTTTTTTCAAAAGCTCTCCGTGTTTGTAGCAGTTTGATTACACGCTTGAGATGCAGAATTATTGCCTTGAGAGGGATGTTCGTGCTGGACGGCCTGAGTCAAAAGCTGGCCTAATCGTAACAGCGAGACAGGCAACCCTGAAATTCCAGAGGTTCCAACCTGAGCGTACAGACCTGTTTTTAAACAGAGGATTTGCTGCTCTTTTGTTGCCTTTGATGGGTGCCAAGGGGACACTGGTCTCGGCGAACCTTGGTGAAACGGAGGCGTATTTTATGGTGGTAGTGAAACTGGGGCAAGAGGCTTGCAAACAAGAAAGAGCTTTGTGTGCAGGCAAGAGAGGGTGTGTGGTGGCCGGAGGATGAGGTGCGTAGGCAGCGGTGTCGCAGTGCTTCTGTGAGAGTGTGCAGATCAAGGATGCCTGTGTGTCATCACCGGAACAGGGCTCTCAGCCGAGCCTCGGTGGAAGGGCGAGAAGAGTGTGGGGAGGGATGTCTTGGAACTGGGTGATGGTGGTGATATTTGTGTAGATGGAGATAGTGACGTGGCTTGTATTACTGTTACAAAATTAAGAGGGGCATTTGTTTATTTTTGTATTAGCTACATTTATGTCTTCCTTTCCTTCAAGACACCACCCGATGCACACTGACTTATGGGTAAATCCCACGGAACAGAGGACGTATTGACATGGATTATGCCATGCAACGTAAAGCCCCAAGTACTGTAGAGTCATTATTAGAGGCACCAACACACACACACACCATGGTCGCTTTGGCCAGACCCCCTCCCTCAGCTCATGCCTGCAATATACAAGACACTAACACAGTTTTATCTGAAAAGAGTTCGGTATTACCAAGGTACTGTAATATTCATGAAGCATTTTTGAATGAAATGCTAGGTATTTCTTCTTCATAGATAGATTTCATTATCTCCTGCAACTCTTCTTTCTGTACTGTAGGAGGGGTTTATCTGTCTTGCAACTTATTTTTCTCTGTGGAGTTCATGAGTGGCAACACAGAAAGAATGGTCACAACAGATGTGTACATCTGATAGGGATGCATCCTGCATTGCTTTTGTGGTATTTGAGAGGATGTACTTCTCTCTGGCCTTCTTCCAGATCAGGGTGATATTTAAGAAAAAAAAAAACATGATGATGATGATCCTGGCCACCATTATGTATTGTCAGGTGCAGCATTTAACATCTGGGCCTAACGTTTTTGGAGGCTGGGAGCTGGTACATGTTGGCATGAGGATCCTGCGTGATTTGTTAGAACAGTGTCGTGTTTTTATTGTTTATGGCATAATGGGTGGGTGATGAGGGGCTTGTATGGTTAGCTTCTTTTGAAGGGAAACAACAACAACATACTGGTGCCCTGGGTTCAGATTACCCCTATAGCCAAAGCAAACAAACTGGCCCTCTAAAAAGCATAATGGAGTGGGAGAGATGGAATCAACTCTGATGAGAAAGAAGACATAGGATCCAGAGTCAGAACTGAGAAGTGATTGGCTACCTGCTCTTTCCAATAAAAGGCCCAATCAATTAGCAACTCCAGGGATTGCCTTGCAAAAGAAGAGATGGCTGCGTTGGAGTCAAGGAGGGAGGGGGGCTGTCCTATGTGATTAAAGCAGGATGCAGGAGGACTCTGCCACCTGTGTACATCTGATAAGAACAACTAATTGAAGATAAGAGAACTGAACCTTTGCTATCCACAGGGGCTGGTTTTGGAGACCCTTGGGCATCTGCAGGGGGTCGTCTCAAATCATAAGAGGTTAATTCTCCCCATGGTGTCTCTATGTGGGCAAAGAAAGGTTTCAGATCTGTTACAGCAGGTGGTGGGCCTTTGGAAACTGTGGAAAGCCTGGTAAATGTTCTCACTTGCTACCCCCATTCCTGGCTAAAGCAATAAAGGCAGACACGCCTACCCACATACCCCTCTTGCAGCAGCGCAGGTAGACATCAGTGCTGAATACTCTATCAAATTTTTACCAGATATCCAAGTTCCACCAACTACGACTAATCCTTGTGTCCCGTCAAGCCGAGTCTTACTTGCGACAACCCCGTCCGTGGTTTTCCAAGTATAAAGTCATGAGAAGTGGTTTCCCATTCCGTTCTTCTGGGGATGCCCTAGGGCTGTGCAGCTTGCCCAAGGCTAGACAAGCCGGCTCTTCTCCCAGGAGGCACAGCAAGGAATCGAACTCCCAAACACCGAGCTACCCAGTCCATCCCACCAAGTAAAGCTGGGTGAAAATAAATGGACTTGCAATGAAGGAATTATTCTGACCCCACACATTTATTATGGGTACCAGGACTGATGGCCACACGTCCCTTCCTTCTGCACAAAAATCTCTTCCTGAGGTTTCTTCACTCCTTCAATATTACAGCAAGATGGGGAAGATGTCAAACAATTAGAATCGAATTCGCCAAACCTACCAGCTCAGAGACCTTTAATAGATTCAGGTCTACCTTCTGCCCAGTCCTGTACTTGCCTCCACACCAGTGTGCATACACACATGCGCATGTGCAAAAAAGGACACAGACAACCTCCTTAGCCACCAGGCTGAAAAAAAGCAGATGTTTCTCTCTAGAAAGCTTCCTATCCATGGAGCCTGGCCAGCCCAGCCCAGTAGTTATGGGTTAAAACTAATTAACTTAATTAATTTCCATGATGCAACTGTGTGAAGAGACTAACAGCTAAATTAAAGGCAGAGATGACTACAGCTTTTTTTTTACTACAGCTTCCATAGTCCACTGCCATGCTAGCTATGGTATTTCTAGGAGCTGTCATCCCAAAATAATCTCTTTTTTTTTCTTTGATTAAAACTGAAGCCACATTCCTCTCTAGCCTGAATAAAATGAACTTTAAAATTCTTCAGCTCGTTTTGTTTGGATTATTACAATTACAGTATTACATTCACTTACTACTGGCCTATTGATTAGGCATCCGCCTATATCATGAAGTAAAGAATCTTACATCATTATTTATGTTCCATTTTAGAAACTGTATTTGTTGACAGCTTCTTTGAACTAGAATGTTTTATTAAGGTATGGAAACAACATATATTGTACACAAACGAAAATGAAGGAAACAACAACAAAAAGGAGGCCTGAATAAATATTTGATTTCTAAGGGTGTAAGTAGAGTCTGCCCTCTTGTTTTTCTGCATGAGTTATCTCACTGGAAGGGAGGCAAGCGTAGACCAGATACTCATACACATGCATAACAGACACCCCCCTCTCTCACACACATATAGCTACATATATGAGGCACAGACACGCACATATGGCATGTCTTCGTGTATGAGAGAGAGAGAGATTATATATTTATATATATAAAATCAAAAAGTGTGGACTGAAAGAAAGACCAGCACATTAAGCCACAAAGACACATTTGGGTGTCACAGCAGGCTTCCATTATTTTAATATACTTATTCTTGTGCTTTCACAGCACCTACTAAAATAATTGTTTTAATCCTTCACATAACCCCAATTCCCTCCTGCCCTTATTTTAGTGGTTTGCATTTTGAGATTGCTTTTATAATACGATGTATTTCAAATATTGTGTGAGCCAACCTGCGGGTCCTGCTTTTTTTGCGGGGAAGAAAGGCACTCCTAGAAAAGAAAACAAACAAGTATATACAGGGTGCCATATAAATCAGGACTTCCTGGATAAGATATGGGGGTATGCCATGCTGCAATATGAGTGGCGCAGCCTGGAGGGCCAGGGCTTGGGCAAAAACAATGAGAACTTAGTGAGACGTTCACACTTCTTTGTGTGACTCCAGAAGCAAATCCCTTTCCTCCATTTTCTTGGAAGTGGGGAGTGGACAACAAGTACAGTTGAAAAAAATTCTGAACAAGATCTATACCAATCATGGTGAAGAGGAACAGTAGGTTCTCTGCTCATCAGCAGGGCTAATCAAACTGAAAACTGAGGTCCTGCTCACAGGAAGGGGACTCCATGAATCAGAGCAGAGGAGAAAAGCAAGAAGGTTTGCTCACAGTTCCCAGAGGGGGCTGGGATTTAATGGAAAGGAAAAGGAGCAACTTGCTGACTACTATGTAGTTCCATTCACAGTTCCCAGAGGGGACTGGGATTTAATGGAAAGGAAAAGGAGCAAGACCTTCAGCTGAGCAGTAAGGCAGCACCTCCTTTGCATCTGTGAGGCACCCATTTGGATCCCCAGCATCTCTAATTAAAAGGCCTCAAAGCCCTGTGTCATTGCAGGGTCATCATCGCCCATGCAAAGAAATGGCACTGGGCCAGAAGATCTGGTTCAAAGTCAACGATGGAGAACCCATGTGTTTGTTAAGGTCTAGAGATGTCTAACTCCAAACTTCTCTTTTCTTTCCACAGCTTGTAGCCGTTGGGCAGTTCCGAATCTTCAAGGAGCCTCTGGGCTTTGTAAAGTTGCTAGAATGGGTGAGTCCAAGATCCCAGTTTCCTAACATGCATTGAGAGCTCCTTCATGGCTCTCTCTCTCTCTCCTCGCATCTCAATATATCTCCGCTGCCCACCTTCTGTTCTCCCTCCGACCAAGGCCAGCAAGCAGGCAGGCAGGCAGGCAAAGAGAGGGTCTGTGTTGACTGTTCTGCGCAGAGGGGCCAAAGGAGAAAGAAGGCAGGCAGCGGCTGTTCCTTTATGCCTCATAGTTCTGTATCACCTTTCCTAACATGCATTGAGAGCTCCTTCGTGGCTCTCTCTCCTCGCATCTCAATATATCTCCCAACAGCAATCTTGGAATGTAGGCCCCACTGATAGCATATATGACAACCCCAACATCTCCCAGTGGGTTTTAGGGTTCAGTGGAGACTGGAATTGGGAACGCATCCATTCCAGAATAAGGCTGTACCAGAGGAACAGCCCCGCCTGTCATGACAAGCCACACCTGCTGAGGCTCCCACTTATGTAGGCCAGACTGACAGCATATATGACAACCCCAACATCTCCCAATGGGTTTTAGGGTTCAGTGGAGACTAGAACTGGGACCACGTCCATTCCAGAACAAGGCTGTATCAGAGGAACAGCCCCGCCTGTCATGAGGAGCCACACCTGGTGATGCTCCCACTTCTACTGACTTGTTCAGAGGTGCAGGAGCCCCGCCCTCTTTTGCCTAGACTGACAGCATATATGACAACCCCAACATCTCCCAATGGGTTTTAGGGTTCAGTGGAGACTAGAACTGGGACCACGTCCATTCCAGAACAAGGCTGTATCAGAGGAACAGCCCCGCCTGTCATGAGGAGCCACACCTGGTGATGCTCCCACTTCTACTGACTTGTTCAGAGGTGCAGGAGCCCCGCCCTCTTTTGCCTTTTGGCCGCCCTGAGGCTGCTCTTCATCCCTGACAAAATCACACTTCTCTTTGCGCGGTGCCAAGACGTGCTAGGAGACAGGTTCCTGAGTGGTCTTGCAACCCAAGAAAAACAGGTCTGCCTAAGAAAGATGGTTCCCAAATACCTGAATGCGTAACCCTTCCCTCACGCAACACGGCCCTAACTCACCAGCAGCAAGAGGAAGGAGCTGGTGGCTCTGACATCTGGAAAGCCTCATAGGCTCTGTGCATCACCGGCGGTTGCCCCCCTCCCTTGCCCAGGCTTCCTTTTTTTTCCCCCATCAGCATTATATTATAGTGAGCATCCCTGGTGTGATGCAGAGTACTTGGCTTCATTTTGATCTTAAATCAGCAATGAAGGCCTGGTTTAGTTACAAGCTACAAGTTGCAATTCTCCAGATGGACCTAGAAGTGGCTAAAATGGTTTCTGTGATGTGGATTCACACATCCAGCTCATTTTGGGGGGGGACTTTCCTTGGGAGCCTGGGAATTGTCATGACCTGGACTTCAAGGTTTAACACTGCGCCACCAGTCTGTCATAAGATTTGCCTCCTTGGTACACCAGCCTTGATCCTGTGCTTGTAAGTCATAGTTGAACCCACAGGCAGAAAGCACACGAGGCTTCCTCAGATGATTTTTAAAAGGCCAGTTTCTTTTAAAGGCACAGAAACAGGTCAGGCTGTTTTTGTTTTTTTTATCAGCTGGCATAGTCACTGTGACCATAGCAACCTGGCAGGAAGTCTTGAAAAACAGAGAGATATTAACACGCACATAACTGTGATGCTAGCAGAAGGGATGGTATTCTGAGGGGTTATAACTGTCAAAGGGGAGTCGTAACCCTAGTTCAGATAGGGAAGACACCCTGGGAAAGGACAGGCAAGAAGAACATATTAGGAACTGAGTGAAACATCAAGGCTGAGTATGTTTTCCTGGCTGAAGCAGAGGAAACAGCAATGGCATGCCACTAAGGATCAAGGATGCCAATGTATATTCCCATGTGCCAGCCTGAAGTATATTTATCATACCTCCTCATGGTGGTTGATTTCTAAATGTTTGTGTCGTTATTGGCAAGAACCTTCCACGCATCACAGTGAAGTAAATGGTGAATGTCAACAAGTCGGGGAAAAAACATTTTAAAACTCATGCAAAACAGTCAATGTTCACACCTGAATGTGATTTTGGGGGAGGGGTTATTAATATATGCAGGCAAAAACAGCACTTAAAAATTACTTCCTTGGATTACAGTTGCCGGACCGTACCACCCCCACCCCCAGGTATTTCCAAATTCTGGTTTTAAAATCTAGTTCAGTGTGCATCTATCTATAAACATTAGTCTTGTTATCGACACACACCAAAATTCATAGTTAACATGGAAAACTAGCATGCCATTCTGTGAACTCAGCCATGTCCAAACAGTTGGTGAATCCCATGGGTTATGACTTAACAGCTTTTCTTGTTCTTTTAAAAACATATACTTCCCAGAGCAGGACCAGACAATTCTCACCCTAGAAAGAGCACAAACTATAGTAAACAACATCATCTCAACCGTACAAAAAGTTATCCTCGGAAGAAACAGTCTTACGTTCTTGGATGCACTGAAAACAAAAGCTGCTCTTTCTGTTCTTTTTCAAACCACCAGGCAAATCTAGAGAAGTGAAAAGAAAAAGTTAAAAAAAAAGGAGGGCACTGTGGAAGGAGTGGCACAAGATCCATAGGGATGCATGTTTGTTCTTGGATAAATCCCACTAATTTCACTGAATTTTCTGTAAGAGAACTCCTGACAGATTCTCCCTCCAGTCTACTCTCTAAATATTCAACATTTATTATATTCCAACCCCACCTTTCCTGCAAGAAACTAAACAATGATAGGGTACGTGGTGGTCCACTTCCACTGTAATGCTATACCAGTGACAACCCTTTCCACAGCTGATGTGAAGCTATGGCTCCCCAGTCTGATGCAGTAACCTAGCAACGGGAATGTATAGCTCTTCAGATGTGGTACTTTTATTCCCATCCCAGTGTAGCCGGTGGTGCTTGATGATGGGATGAGGTCCAACAATATCTGGAAAGCCATGTACTTGTCCTTCCAACTCTAACCTCTGTACCACAATGATTCTCATCATATGCCAAGGGTGGCCTGTTAAGCTGGATGCTTGTTGGGAGCCCAAAGTACAGACAAAGTATAATTAATCTGAAAGTGAATGCTTCCTTCCACCAAATTTATCAATGCTAGGAGCAGCATGGACATTTTGATGCTTAAAAGGGAGAACTTCCCCTTGTTAAAAGAAGGCACAATCCGTGAGAAAGCCCCCCCCCCCAATTTCAATGACATAAAGAGATGCTACAGGAAGGCATATTAATAAGGCCAACTTGCATAGGAAAATCTCCTGATGGATTCTCTCTGTCTCTCGGCTGCACCCAGATTCCACAGTGTGGGGCTCTGTTAAGGCAGCAGGTCAGACGGTGACTGCTCTGGTTCAGCTTCCTGGGTGCTTTGTTGTGCTAGTGAGACCTTGAAGCAGTGCAAAAGATGAAATATCCAGCCTGGTCAGGCTGCTTTGCCCTCCACAGAATCAGGCCTTGGGCATCTCGTTGAACAGCCTTCCCTGATTAGGTGCTCTTCAGCTGTCAGACTACAACTCCCACAGCTCCCGTTGGTGGCTCTGGGATTGTGGGAATTGTAGTATAACACAATGGGGAGATGCCCAGTTGGTGGCAGCTTATTACAGGAAGGGGGGGGGAGAAGTTGAGGAAGGCACTCTATATAATATACCAGAAGTCTCATTCTTGTCTGCCTCATTAGCAGAACTAATGAGTGGTATAGATTTGGCATTAAAATCAAATGTTAAAAAAATCTAAACAAATGGTTAATGCCTAATACCTAAACAGAATCAAGATCTCAAAACCAATAATCCGAGGCTGGAACCTTTCTTTCTTTTTTCTGATGCAACAAAAGGTGTTCAGATCACTTCCCTGGATTAGTGTGGAGCAACTGTAGTGTAGCAACCTCTCATTGCAGACCTGAAGCAGGAAAGTTTTTTTTGTTCACAAGACCTGGAGTCTTTCTAGTATTCAATGCAGCTGCAATCCATAATCTCAGTTGCTACAGATTTGACACAGTGACAGTCAATACTACTATAGTGTGTGGTACAGACCCCAGTTATAGAAATGGAGCAGTGAGGAAGTACGAGTTACATTTCCAGCACAATGTTATGCATGGCTACTCGGGAGTAAGACCGAGGAAGCTCAGCAGGACTTCTATTTGAATGCTTACTGGCTTGTAACTTTAGTGTCAACACCAAACATAGTAAGGCAAACTGTCATCGTTGTTTAGTCGTTCACTCATGTCCGACTCTTTGTGACCCCATGGACCAGAGCACGCCAGGCCCTCCTATCTTCCACTGCCTCCTGGAGTTGTGTCAAATTCATATTGGTTGCTTTGATGACACTGTCCAACCATCTCATCCTCTGTCGTCCCCTTCTCCTCTTGCCTTCACACTTTCCTAACATCAAGGTCTTTTCCAGGGAGGCTTCTCATGAGATGGCCAAAGTATTGGAGCCTCAGCTTCAGGATCTGTCCTTCCAGTGAGCACTCAGGGTTGATTTCCTTTAGAATTGATAGGTTTGTTCTCCTTGCAGTCCAGGGGACTCTCAAGAGTCTCCTCCAGCACCACAATTCAAAG